ACCACCAACAGAGTGAAGAGACAACCCACAATGTGGGAAAAAAATGTTTGCCAGCTTTTTCTCAGATAAAGGATTACTATTGAGAACATATAAAGAACTCAGAAAATCAGATCTCTCAAATTTAAAGACCCAATCCAAAAATGGGGCATGAGAGATGAACACACACTTCTCAGATGAAGAAATACCAACAGCAAATCAATATATGAAAAAACGTTCAACATCTGGTCATTCGAGAGATGCAAATTAAAACAACACTGAGATTCCATCTCACTCCAGAAAGAATGGCTATCATCAAGAAATCAACCAACAATAAATGCTGGAGGGGCTGTGGGGAAAAAGGAACCCTTCTCCACTGCTGGTGGGAGTGCAGACTGGTGCAACCACTGTAGAAATCAGTGTGGAGAGTCCTCAAAAAGCTAGGATTAGAGGTCCCATTTGACCCAGCTATTCCCCTGCTGGGTATCTTCCCAGAAGAATTAACAACATCGTACCATAGTGATACATGTGCACCCATGTTTATAGCAGCATAATTTGCAGTACCTAGATCTTGGAAACCATCCAAATGCCCATCAACCAGGAATGGATAAAAAGGATGTGGTATTTTTACACAATAGAGTACTACTCAGCATAAGGAAGGACAAACCGTAGACTTTCATAATTTCATAATGAAATTTTAAAAAATATGTACGCACTGTTAAAAAACAGAAATCATCTACCTCATCATCTACCTCACTTCACTGACAATGCCATCCTTTCCAGATCTGGTTAAGCAGTAACATCTTCATTATCACTCAGTTCTTTTCAACTGGAAAGTAAGAATGTATGGGATAGATGGGTACATGTGTCCTTTACTCCACTGATACGGGCTGAGATCAGGACTGGGAATATAGCTCAGTGAACAGCATGTGCTTAGCATGTGTGATGCCCTGGGTTCAATCCCTAGCAGCCTCTCGGCCCCCAAAACGGCTACGATCATAAATGCTGTGGGATGCAATACTCTAAAGGTGCACTGTCCAGTAAGGAAGCCACTAGCCACAGGCCATGATTTAAATTTAAATTAAGATGAAATGAGAAATTCAGTTATCTGGCCACGTTAACCATGTTCTGAGTACTAAATAAATAACACCAATTCAGAACCATTCCATCACTACACAAAGTTCTAGAGACAGTGCTGCCCTACAGGGAGCTGGGGACACAGACTAGGAGCCACTCAGGCTTTGGTCCTCTTTCTTACCTTATCCAGTTGACCGGATTTATTATATTTCTCTTCTGCAAAGACCAGCTCCATCTCACTCATGTCATTGTTGAGGATAAAACAAACTTTAGATTTGTAGAATTCAGGGTCATCTGTTTCAAAGTACTGAGGAGACAGATATAGAGCAGAACATGAACATTCTTTTGCCTAGAAATTGTATTTGTAACTGTTTGGAGCCAATTATCCCTTCAACTTTATGAAAGATCATCTCAGCTGGGTGTGGTGGTGCACACCTGTTATCTTGGCACTTAGGAGGCTGAGGCAGCAGAATCTCCATGAATTTGAGGCCAGCCTGGGCTGCATAATGAGTTCAAAGCCAGCCTGAAGTACACAGTGAGACCCTGTCTCAAAACACCAAAAACAAAACACAACACAACACAAGCCAGGTATGGTGGCGCACACCTGTAATCCCAGCACTCGGGAGGCTGAGGCAGGAGGATCGTTGCAAGTTCGAGGCCAGCCTGGGCCACAAAGTGAGCTCAAGGCCAGTCTGAACTGCATAGCAAGACCCTGTCTCAAAAAGACAAAACAAAAACAAAAACAAAAAACCCCCAACAACACAAACCCATCAGCGCAGCTGGAGTGATTCCAGTTAACAGCCAGGCACCCTCAGTGGCAAATGCACACCTAACAGGTTACCTTGTAATGCATTCGCAGTCCTATGATCTGGGCCAGGAAAGAACGGGTGAAACGAGCTCGGACCAACTGCTTGTAGGCCCCTCCTAGGGAGGACTCATACAGACACTTGCCCACCAGCCGCCCTGCAAACTCATACATCTTCAGGCGCAGGTGAGCTGGGCGGTTAGGGTTGGGATGCACCTGTCAAGGAAGGAAAATGAAAGGCCCTGGCCCAGGTTCTCAAGCTCAGCTCTGGAAAGACCTTCCCTCCCCAACCTCAAGTGCTACAGTTTGGATCTGGAACGTCTCCATGCACGGAAGGCTTGGTCCCCAGCCTTTGGCATTCTGCAGAGCAAGTGTAACGTTTAAGAGGTGGGGCCTCGGGTAAGGTTTTAGGTCACCGGGCACGGGCTCCCAAAGAGTACTGGGACTCTGCTTTCTTCTCTCTGTTTCCCATCCTGGCCATGAGATGAATGGTTCTGCCACACACTGTGGCAACGATGTGCTGTGCTTCCTCGCCATGGGACCAAAAGGAAGAGGGGCAACTGGTGGTGGGCTGAAGCCTCCAACCCCATGAACCATAGTAAACCTTTTCTCTTTACAAGCTAATTATCTCAAGTATTTGTTACAGTAGCAGAAAACCAACATATCATGCTAAGGAAGGAAGGGTTTCCATGAGAACCAGAAAGCCCACCTAAATGGCACTAGTCTTTTGGTAGATACACACTGAGTGATGCAAAGTGAATGGAGGATGAAAGGCAACAACCAACTTTGATTAAGCTAAGGAATCTCAGGTAAGTAAGTCTGTTGTCCCTAGCTGCATATCAAAGTTAACTGGTGAGTGATATGACGCCTTTTTTCTAACCTAGACCTTCTTTCAGCCAACACCTACTCCTCTACTTGCCAAAAATCTGGTACAGTAATCAACTGTCTCAGGCATTTTTCAGAAAGTGGCTTAATTATTATAAGTAGTAAAGCAGCCACTGCACTAGACTGCTTTTTCATCAAATATTCAACTGTCTGCATTTTCTCATTTTACAGATAAAATAATGAAGGCACACAGGAGAGAGGCAATCTTATTAGCTCCCATTGTAAGCAGCAAATTAAGAACCTGACACAGATTTTCAGACTTCTGGGGTTTCCTAAGTTCAAACCCTCATGTATTAATTATAACATAATCCACATTTACCACCCACCCACGGGGAAGTCACAGACTCACTAATGCCTGGTTGTTGTCACTGAATCGAGTGAAGAGCGGGTTGGTGGTATCAAACAGTGCTTTGCAGATCAGCTCAAACCACTCCCGGCGAGGCCCTCCCCAGTCCAGAGCTGAAAAGTGTAATGAAAATAAAGGTGATCTGGGCCTACCTCCGCTTACCATTTCGCTCCTCTGGCCATCACTTTACTCTCATTACGTTTCCTGCTGTATTACTTTACTGTCTCTCCTTTACAGCGCACCTAAGTGGTAGGCCTTTCTAAAAATCCCACCCCTTTCTGTAGGATTGAAGTTACTGATCACTAACCTAATGAAACACAGGAGACCAGCGACCTCCGCAAATGAACAGCCCTGGGGTGTCATGGCACTTTTCCCTCTGGCGCGAGCTCTTAGAGCTCTCCCTCTGGCTCCCCTGTCTCTGCTCTACAAATTTTACCATACTATCTGGCCAGCAAATATTTTTTCTTTCTTCTTGACTACGGAAATTGGGTTGTTTCAGGGAGTGGGTGTGTGAGTGAATTTTTTTTTTTCCTCCCCTGTGGAAAGGGAGTAAGAGAGAGGATAGCAGACAGAAAAAGTAAAGAAAAAAAAATTTTTAAACTGACCTTCCTCATCCTGAAAAACCACTTCAAAGTTCTTGCTCCAATCTGAGATAGAGAAATTTCGAGTGGCCTTCAGAGACTGAAAAGCGGTGAGACGAAGGGACTGTCAGACAACTGGCTTGCACCTCTTAGATGCTACAGACAGACACACAAGAACACTGCCACTACTGTCTGCTGAGCTAGCACTACCACATGATGGAGACATACTACTCGTAGACAAGCTTTCGTAATATCCTCTTATACTTAAAATGTACATATCTCTGAAAGAAACCTGAAAGTTTTAAAAAATAATCTAATTTGTCTGTATACTATGACTTTATTGGAAAGCTAAAGTTGGTCTTATTTTTTTAAACAATGCTCATTTTATTAAGGAAAAATTCTTGCCAAAAGTAAAAAAAGATTTAAGTCAGCAAACCTAAGCAAGAGAACCAAGGAGCCCTGGTTTTCAATAGAGTCTACCCCTAGATGTCCTAATGAACAAGGCGAGGTTCAGACAGGGAGCCATGCCACATGGAGAGTGTGGCTGAGAAAAGGGGTTTCCAGTCACACCTACCGGAGCCAAACACCACAAACACTTTCTGGACAGGGACCAAGCCTTCTCATTCTTGGGGAATGTCAGACCCATGCCAGTGTCTGTGCAGTGGAGACAGACACACATCAGGTGTTCCTTTTCCATCAGACCAGAGTGACAAGAAAAATCACTTCCTTTTCACCCATCAAGAGCCCTTCTATTCCAGGGATTCAGTAACAGGAACTTTCTTCCATAACCACTACCTCCACCTCCCTACACAGGAGACTGTTTAAGCATTAATTCCCCACAGACCTGAAACCCAATATGCTACCCAGTTTCCCCTCAGTAACACACCTCTGACATATCTGTCCCAATGTCGGGATAATTAAACAGGAAAAAAAAGTCTCTAGTGGATCCTAAAGAGAGTGACTTAGGCTTCATAAAAAAGGTAACTCTCAGGATACAACCAAATACTAAAGAGGCTGGGAAACGCCGGCATCTGCTAGCAGACATGAAACTTTACATACCGATTCCAACAAGGCATGTCTGCTGACCTTCAGGGTGACTTTGGAATGTGGCCTTTTCATATGTACCTGACGAAGCTCTCTCTGGAAGAAGTTCACCTTGTCCTGAAAGGTCTCGGAACCCCCTGAGAAGCAGCAAGACCCATTATGACACAGCCTCACTAGCAGGTGCCTGCGAGCCCTTGATACTCTCACGGACCCAGGGGCCTGGGGTTGCCGCCTCCCAATCGAGACCCCCGGCCACCCTTACCAAGGTTCTTATGCAGGGAGCGGATGAAAGTGGCGGCGAGAATGTTCCTCTCCTTGCAGCTGAGCTCCACAGGAGGCTGGATGCCGTCATCTACCACCAGAGTGAGCAGTTTATGAACGGGGTCGGGGCCAAGGTATGAAAACTAGCAGAAGGAAAAAAGGAGTTAATTTATAAAGCCCTCAAGCCCACCAAAAACCTTCCGTATTACCACCCTGCCGTGCCAGCTAACAGAAACAAACCTGCCTTCTCTGAGTTACTGCCTACACAAATATATCTCCTTGTTTTTTTATGACAGTGTTCTACAGCTCAAATTTTATTCTCAATTATTTGAGTCTAAAAGATTGCCTTTAAGTAAGGATCACAGGCAATACTACAGATCTTCTGACAAAATATGTAAGGGTGAAAGTACTTATATAAAAAAAGAACCAATTTTACTCCAAGCTGGCTGGGAGAAAGCGACTTTTATAAAATAACAGAGTCAGCTTTTTAGACAACAGCTTCGATCCCAACAGGCCAGAAGAGTAAAAGAAAACTCTGAGGAGGAATGAGAGTCATCATGCTGGGAGGTTCAGTTTGGGCCACAGTCACCAGTAACCTATAAACGTAGTCCTGGAAGCCAAAGGTAACTGGTGAAATATTCTGAGCTGCTAATCCCTGTTCCTGTAGGTAAGGTCCTTCTAGGATTTCCAGATTCCTTGTGAGATTCAGTGAGGAGATAACGATCCTTTCTGTATTTGGAAGTATATTTTGTATGCACAGGGAAAACTTTTAGAAACACTGAAAGTCCTCTGGGAAAAAAAGAAAAGGCCGAAATATCCCAGTATTAAAGTGTGTTCAACATGGATCTCATGTAATGAGCAACTTACTTTTGTTCCTGGGCATACTCGGAAAGTGTAAAGGCGCCAGGGAATGATTTTCAAGTAGAACTCCTTCACTGAGAATTGCTAGAAGACCAACAAACAGAAAATTAAGTTAGTGGTAAATGAAAGGCTCCTACCCGGGTGTTATAATTCAAACACAGCATCCTGGGATTCAAATACAGCACTAGAGTATCCATCTATATTTCTCACGATAACCTCTCTTCCTCCCTGGATAAAAAGGGTCATTTAGTCAGTACTAAAATAAATGTCAGTTCTATCTTTAAAAGGGCAAATACAAAAATATTACTCTGCCACTCCAGTTTCACAAAGACATTTCAAAATCTTACTACTCAGGTCTTACTATAATTTCAAAATACCTAGAATCAGGTTCTCACTGTGAGTGGAGAACACTCACCTCAAACAATTAAGATCTCCTACTCAGACACAGGCTGCTCAGAATGACTTCTTCAGGACTACCGAGGGGCACCAGCAGCCAGCAGCTACTGCTTTTTACCTACCTGGATGGTACCAAGGATTTGTCAGAAATGGGGAGACAGAAGCTGTGGGAGGGTGAGGTGGAGTTTTTTTTTAGGGGGAGGCTCACAAATAAGTTCACTAGACTATCTCATGTGAAGATAAAGAAAGACCTTATGTCATTTACAAAAGGGGAAAAAGAAAACAAAATAATTCATTAATCTAAAAAACAAAACAAAAAACTGTACTCTGACCATGCATTGGGCCAGACTGTCCCCCAATGACCAGCTCAGCGCCAACCGTGCTTCACTTACTCACCCCACCCATCTCCCTAATTACCATCCCTCCTAGTCCAGAAAAATGCTAGCTTTTTTAAAATGAAGAATAGTACACAGCAAAATGCTCTAAAAGAACTTGAACCCAGTTTTGGTTATGAGATTAAAAGAATGTTCAACAGTTTCATTTTTATGAGGACTGAATGAATAAGAAAGTAGAAATACTGAAAAGCAACTCTAACACAAAGCGCCTCTGAGCTCTGGGGCTTGGGAAGTTCACCTTCTTCTCTCTGCCACAATTTCTTTATTCTAATCTTGTAGCCTGATAGCAACATCCATTTACAGTGATTTCACAAATCACAGAATAAAAGATCAAATTGTTTCACTATAGAACAAGGGATAAACAGCGAATTTATTCTAGTGAGAAGTTTTTAACGGTTGAAAGTAGCTCTCCTGGCAGCTCTAAGAATTATGCGTTTAAAATCTTCCCCAAAGCAATCAAAGGGCAGAAGCACAGGTGTTCTATGGTGCCAAGGCACACAGAACCTCCAGAGAGAGATTTGGTTTAGGCCAAACCAAACATCTGCAGCAGCAGAGGGGGCATAATCCTCTGCTTCCCTTTAAGCAGCCTCTATTTGTGTGCTAAATCCCCTACAAGAAGACAATCTTGCCCTGCTGACAAACTGTTCCTTTGTGCTTTGTTACCAATTACACGCAGACTCAGGAAAGGGTCTTCTAGGCAAGAATGGGGGCTCCAACCTTTGGTGACACGTAGCAGTACACCTTCTTTGGTTTCTTCACTTTCTCAGGGGTGTGGCACTCTGAGGGCGAGTCTTCATCTTCCTCCTCCACAGCAGTGGAGGGTCGGCGCTGTGAAGAGCTCATATGCATGGGTGGAAGGTGCCATGGTGTGCTGGTACAGTTGGTAGCGTTATACAGATAAGCCTCGAAGTAAATACTTACTCCTGAGGTGGACACATTGCGTTCAACGATATTTCTCTCGTTCTCTGAAGTATAATGAAAGTAAGTTTTAATGTAGGACACAGGGGAGGAAAAAAATTACATATCACTACTTATTTAGCTCACAGGACAATAAGCCAAGTATAGCCCAAATATCAAAACATTTATTAAGGAGGTCAGTAGTGCACATATACAAAGCAGAAGTGGCCATCGGAACAGGATTACAGCACTGCTTTCAACTCACCACTTAGGACGATAATGTCAAATTCTCCATTACTGATTGGCTGATTTTGGTATGAAATGCAGGCATGGAAGCAACCCCGAGAATGCAGGGTGAGTCGCAAGAACACCTGGCAGGTCTGCCTGTTGGATGTCACTGATTTCTCAAATACAACTCCAGTACTCTCTTCCTCCTGAGGGCCTAGCTACAGGAAGAAAATGAACTATACTTAAGAAATTTTCCTATCTCCAAGGCAATTTACTCTTTTTTTTTGGAATCGAGAAATGAACTCAGGACCTTGCACTTGCGAGGCAGGCTCTTGGGCCACTGAGCTACATCCCCGGCCCCAGCAGTTTGCTCTTTACAAAGAAGTTCCATATATTATCTATGCCTCACAATTACTAATAATATAGGTACTAGCTGGGTGTGGTGGTGCACGCCTGTAATCCCAGCACTCGGGAGGCTGAGGCAGGAGGATCATTGCGAGTTTGAGACCAGCCTGGGCTACAAAGTGAGCTAAAGGCCAGCCTGAACCGCATAGTGAGACCCTGTCTCAAAAAGACAAAAAAAAAGACAGGTACTGTTAGTACTGTAGCAGAATGCAAGGAAGAGAGAAGAGATAGGAATGAATTAGAAAGGGCAAGAATGACAGAATGAGCCTGTTCTCCCTAGTACACAAGAGAAAGAAGGCAGTTACTTACCTCATGAATGGACAAACAGTAATTGTGCTCCTCTCTCAGGGATGTGGAATTGTTGGTAGGGTTGTCATACTCATCTCGGGGCACTATTTGAAGGGTGTGTGGCTGCCCACACGTCAACACAAGAGTCGAAAAATGACACACAATTTTGGTCTTGGAAGGAACCACCATTCCTGGAACAGACAATCAAATACATTTAGAGAGAAGGGAGAGGTGATCTCTAGGACACACAGATCTGCTTAGTGAGACAGAGCTGGGTTCTTTCTCGACTCCGTGGCATAAGTAAAACACTATGAAGAGGAGAGAAGAAAAAAGGAAACAGATTAATTCAAATGAACTCTGGGGTTCCTTTTTATAAATTCTTAACCACTACCAGCATTACACAATGAGAAAAAGGACAGAAGTTGCCAGACCCAATGCTGGAGTGCTAGAATCCCTCAGTCACCTACTTGTGAGATGGACCTTAAAAATAAGTGCTGAACAACAGCAAAAACAAAGATTAAAAAAGCGTAAAAGAGGTGAAATCCAAGAAAACAGATACAAGACTTGCATACTGAAACTTCAAAATGCTGATTAATATTAAAACAATCTTAAATGAAAAAATGTACCAAGTTTGTGGACTGGAAGCTTCAATATAGTACAAGGGTCAGTTCTCCCCAAAACAACATATAGGTTTAACACAATTCTTATTAAAAACTCAGCAAGATTATTTATAGCTTTAGATGATATTATCCCCAAAATTTATAAGGGGAAGTAAAGAAACTAGGTTAGCTAAAACATTCTTGAAAACAATAAAATGAGAAGAGCCAATTTATCCATTTCAAGACTTACTATATGGTATTGCTCTGGGACAGACAGAGGTCATTGGAACAGAACTCAGAACTTGACCACCACAAATATGCCCAACTAGCAGGGCATAGTGGCACACACCTATAATCCCAGTCCTTGGGAGGCTGAGGCAGGAAGATCACCGCTGAGTTTGAGGCCAGCCTGGGCTACCTACTGAGTTCAAGGCCAGCCTGAACTGCATAGTGAGAGCCTGTCTCAAGAAAGTGAAAAAAAAGAAACAAGAAGAAAAAAGTGAAGCCTATTTGAGTTTTGACAAAGATTAAAATTTTAAAATTTGTTCTATGCAAGATCCTATTACGGGAAAAGCCATACACTTGAAGAAAATACTTGCAAATCAAATACTTGATAAAGAACAGGTATGAATAAAGAATTCTCAAAATCCAACAGGGAAAAAACAAATTAGGAACTGGGCAAAAGACATGAAGAGAAATTTCACCAAAGAAGATACAGAGGGCAAGCCGGGCGTGATGGCGCACACCAATAATCCCAGCACTCGGGAGGCTGAGGCAGGAGGATCGCTGTGAGATTGAGACTAGCCGGGGCTACAAAGTGAGCTCAAGGCCAGCCTAAACTGCACAGCAAGACCCCATCCCAAAAAGACCAAAAAAAAAGATACAGAGGGCAAATAAGCATGAAAAGATACACACTATTATTAACCATTTGGGAAATACAAACAAGAAGCACACACTTATCAGAATGGCTGCAACAAAACAGGGACAATATTAAATGCTGGCAAGGATATGAAGAAACTGAATCAGGCATATGCTGCTGGTAGGATGTAAAAACATCACAGCCATCCCAGAAGAGTTTGACAATTTTTAAAAAAAAACTAAGGATAAAACTACCATAAGACTAAGACATTTATGCCAGTGAAGTGGAAATATGTTCACATAAAAATCTTTTCATGTATGTTAATAACAGCTTTATCCATAATAGGCCCAAACTGGAAACAAACTAGATGTCCTTCAAAGAATGAACAAGTAAAAAGACATTCATAAATCAAGTATTACCAATACAAAGGAAGAACAGATACATATTTTCAACAACATGGATTACTGTCTAAACAATTGTGCTTAGTGAAAAAAAGCCAATCCCAAAACGTTACATACTATATCGTTCTACTTATATAACATTATTCAGTAACAACAGGTTAATGAGTTGATGGGCTAAGAAACAGCCCAGTGGGGCAAGCAGGAAGTGGCCACTAAAAGGCAGTGAGGGCTCCTTGTGACAATGGACTGTTCTGTATCTTGACTGTATCAATGTCAAAAACCTGGATGTGCTATTATACCATATCACTACAGTAATACAGTTCTGAAAGATGTTACCACTGGGAGAACTAGATAAAGAACATCCAGGTCCATTAATTTCTTACACTTGTACGTGAACATATAATTATCTCAAAATAAAAAGCTGATTTTTTTTTTTTTTTTTTTTTTTT